GTGGACGGATAAAACTTCATGTCAACTAAAGATGAAATTATAGAAGAGTTTGGACTACACCTCTTAATAAATTGACCTTCTAAGATGGAACCCCAAGTCCTAATATAACAAGAATAAAATTAAATTTATACAATATAAATGAAGAATTTTAAAGAATTAAATTGATGATGTATTGTGTCAGTACTTTTTAGAAAAATCACGGATCGACATGTTGAACATATGTGTCCATGTCGGTGCATCGTAGACCAAAAGTATTTTTTGACCAAGATGTTTATAAGATATACTTTTAGTTATGACTTCTTTATATTGTTGTTAATTATAATGAAATGCAGGAAATTTTGCTAGCAGATTAGCTAAAGAGCTTCCAAAGTGGCAGGTATCTCAATGCACTAGGTTTTTGCTTATGTCCTACTTCCATTATTCAACTAAAAGTAAAAGTTTAGTTATATTAAGTTTTATGGTGGTAGAGGGAAGAATATTGTATGAAAATGCTTAATTTTTTTTTTTTTTAAGATACATGGTTGATCTTGGGTTAAACATGATCATACCCCGAATTTCATAAAAGCAAGTGCATTCCATATGCATAAGCCCCTTACAGATCTTAACTTCTAGTGTTACAATTTGTCTTTTAATTACGTGAAAATGGACTTTTCAAGTGTCTAATTGACAAAAACTATGTTTCTATTAGATTTATGGTGAAAGGTGTCGAAGCCATTTTTATCAAGTATCAACCCTCAGTTCTGGACCTAATTCTGCATCATAATCAAGCATTTTCATGAAAACAATTTAAAAGGGTCACGAAAATCTTCGAAAAATATTCTGATATCAGAAAACAACCAAACGAACACCACCCAACCTCGGCTCGACCCAAAACTCCCACACTCAGTTGCCACAAGTTTCACTCCACAAAGAAGACTTTAATGATGGTGGTATGCAATATCACAATGGGGCGAAGAAGGAAGACACCAATAACTCAAGCAAAGCTCTCAGTTGCAATAAAAATCAGCAACTTCTTTCTTTTCTTCTTTATATTGCATTACACACTCACAGTTGGAAGAAGAAGTAGAATATATAGATGCATTAGGTTACTAGTTTTGGGATTAACTTACTCGTTTAAATGGGCCAAAGATATACCTCTCTCAATGGGACTACTTAATGGACCAACAATAATCCAAAACCACACACCAATCTAACTCCAACATGGGCCTTCAAAAAGTGTCGATCGTATTCAAGTCGAACCAAGTCTATGGTGTCAATAAATTATCTGTCAATTATTTTAAATCATCACCCAGATTTATTGGGTATCAAAAACCAACAAAAAGAAATTCAATCTTAACTGCATAATGAGAATTGTAAGCTAGTGGAATTTGGTGTAGTAAACACTAAACACGATTCCTTTAATATAAGGTGAAAAAGAGGGATATATGGTGGACGAAAGAATAATGCTTTCAGTATTTTGTAGAGCAATGTGATATTAACATAGTTGTGTATGAAGATATATGGCACAATGATAATTAGGCTGCTGACTGGACTATTGGTTGAAGCTTTGACCAGATAGATGATTTATTGTTGACCCCATTTGCATCATTACAAAAACGTGTTTTATGAAATGCAATTTCTTTAGTGGGCTTGATACATAAGATGATGCCATATGTCAACCTTAATAATTGTTGGATGGGTGAATTTCTATTGACTTCTTATATGATCGTTCATTTGCCTAGGGTTTGTATTATTATTGGAATTCGTTCACTTTTTCTCTGACTCTTGAAGTTCTCTCGCCTCTTTCTCTTTCAGAAAACCTTTCAACCCTTCTCAATCGAATATGCATCTTGAGTGTCTGTATATTGCTTGAGTAATGTGTTCTTGAATGAACAAATGTATAGATCGAAAGGCTCATGTGATGTAATCCTGAGTGATTCATTCTAAGTGCCTTGAAAGTGTATCTTTGGATGGTTTCTTTGGTGTCGATTTTTAATCCAATGGTTTCTTCTGGTGGCGAAAGCTCAAAAGGGGATTAGGAACCAACCATTGATCTGATGTGAATCCAAAGGTCCAGAGCAACTAAAATATCAGGTTGATTATTGGTTCATGTTGTGGGCCATCTCAATGAAGTTATTGGGCAATTATTAAATCTGTCTGGGCTGAATGCCATTTCATCATCGCCTAAGTATTGGATTCGACCTGGCATCACAACCCAATAGATATCTACCTTGATGCCAGTGGACATACAAGAAGCATACCAAATATATATTACATTCTCATGGAATGTTAGCTTCCCATAACTTCCAGTTGTCACCAAGTTCAATGCTTGCACAAAACCAAAATTAACTAGTATCAATGTTCAACATTTTCTCTACATATGTAGTTTGCTTTAAACTTAGCGACCTGTTATGCCTTTTTCTTGTTATTTCCATCCCTAAAATCTTCTTAGCATGACTTAGATCTTTCATTTCAAATTCAACAATTAAAGACCTTTTTATCTCATCAATATCATACGTTTTCCATCCAATCAACAATATATCATCCACATATAGAATTATAAAAGCAATATTAGCATTTTTATCACCTCTTTTAAAATAAAGAAAAGGATCAAATTTACTTCTTATGAAATCAACAGTAGATACAAAGTTATCAAACCTTTTGTACCACTATCTTGGTGATTGCTTCAAACCATATAAAGATCTTTTTAGCAAACAAACATGATTAGGTGTAGATTTATCAATAAAACTAGGTGGTTGTCTCAGATAAATCACTTCATCTAGGTCACAATGCAAAAAAGCAGTCTTTACATCCATTTGTACAAATTCAAAATCATATAATGAACAACAAGAGCAAGTATAACTCTAATAGTAGTATACTTAATCACATGAGAAAAAAATTTCATTATAATCTATCCCTTCTTTTTGTGTAAACCCCTTAGCAACAAGTCTTAACCTTAAATCTTATAGGCATCTTTTTAGTATTTTCCTCCTTAACACTAAATATCTACTTGCAATCAACAAGTGTCTTACTTGCAATTTTATGAATTAAAGTCCAAGTCTTAATTCACATTTTTGGGCCCAGGATTCTAATTTACCTACACTTTGATGGGAATAGGCAGCACATCCAAAAATTTTGAAATGGAAATAATTTGGAATATTTCCAGTCCACTGCTGTTCAGATGTTTTGTTTTACAGAGAGCTTGAAGGAGTTCTATTAACAATATATAAAACTGTCATCAAAGCTTCACCCCATAAGACCTTAGGAACACCTGAACCAATAAGAATGAATCTAACCTTATCTAACAGGGTCCTATTCATCCTCTCAACAACTCTATTCTGTTGAGGAGTATAGGAAATTGTCCTATGTCTCTTAATCCCTGTATTATTGCAAAACTGATCAAACTCCTTACTACCAAACTCTAGGTCATTATCAATCCTAAGTATCTTAATCCTTTTCCTAGTTTGATTTTCCATAAGGATTTTCCAAGGTTTAAACTTCTCAAAAGTTTCAGATTTCTGTTTCAACGGATAAACCCAAACCTTTCTAGAGTAATCATCAATCACAGACAAAAAAAATCTATTTCCTCCTTAAGTGCAATTTTCACAAAAAAAGGCACTTTGGATATAGAATCTTTTCCAAAAACACTCTTCTTATGAAGGATATTAAGTTTTTTCACCCATATGAGCTAATCTCTTGCACCACTTTAGAGTGACATCAAGTTCAGTACAGGAGGATTCAACAATGTGATCAACCACTGTACTAGCCTTGATCACATAAATTCCATTTTTTTAGAGATAACAAGAGCCTTTTATCACCTTTAATAGGCAACGTCCAATCCAACCCTATAGACCGATATCATCTAGGTTCCCTTTTGAAATCAAACTTCTGTTTAATTTGGGAACATAACTAACCCTTTCAAGGGTATAGATATATACATTATCATATTTCAATGTTACATTTCCAATTCACACAACTGTGCTGGCTATGTTATTCCCCATCACAACTTCTCCTTCATTAATTTTCTTAAAACCTTCTGGCCAACTTTTCTTAAAGGTCATGTGGAAGGTACAACTAGAGTCCAAGTTCTATTCTTGGATCTGATTTCCTTGATCCGCAACATTTACAGAGTTAGGATCGGATATCATTTCACAGCATATACATCAACACTAATAGGATCTGCTAGTTCTACGACATTTTCTTCATGTATACCTTTTCCTTTCTGTTCATTTTTTTTCTTATAACAATCTTTGATAAAATGTCCATTCTTTCCACACCCATAGCATTTTTTATTTCTTGTCTTTGATTTTGACCTGCCCCTACTTTTGAATTTCTTTTTATGATTGTTTCCATGATTACTCTTGATTTTCCTGAGTACTATTATACTTACTTAGGGTCCTCCCTCTAACAAATAGGTTTTTAGGTCACCATTACCTCTTTCAGTTTTGAGTTCAAGTTCCTTACTTCTTAAAAAGTTTATAACTATTTTAGGTGTAAGGGTATCTCTGTCATATTTTATGGCATCTTCGACTTCCATATAAGTCTCAGGAATAGCGTTAAATAACACAACAACCTTATATTCCTCGAAAATTTCATCAACTGCATTGATGATATCTTGGACCAACTTATTTAAGGTGTTAAGATTATCCTCCATATCCTTAGAGGGGTTTGTCATAAAGCCAAAAAATTTCTATAAACAGCTTGTTAGGCAAAGACATAACTAGATAGAGCTTCTTTAATTCATCCAATAATGCCTTAACATTATTATGCTTATTTTTTTCAAAACTTGATCAGATATTTGGTTTTTTTATTTTACCTAAACTGAAAGAAGGGGCTACTATTTATAGGTACTACTATATCATAAATATGAAAATAATGTGGAATAAGGAAATAATATACTTCCAATAAAATCACGTGAAAATAAAGTAATAATTTTTTTCACATGAAAGTAAGGGAACAAATTTTTTTCCTAATTTTGGACATAAACCCAACAAGAACTTCTCTGGTTAGGCTCTTATTCAATGCCTGAAGCTGCAACAATAGCACACGATGTTGCATTTTATTGTCTACGAGGAACTTCATCAACCCAAAAAACTCAACTTCCCTTCAATGTTACCCCTCTGACAGGATTGTCACCTAGGTCGATGCAGAATGTGGCCTCAGATGCTGGCATGGCCATGGACGCTCAATTATCTTCAAAGAACAACACGAATATAAATAAGTATTGTGAAACATCATGGGAGGGGAATGATCAGTCTAGAGAAGGTGAAGCTTTGAGCATTTCATTTGAAGAGGATCTGTAGATCGGTTCTCCGAATGAAGGTTACTTTTGGTGATAGAAATATTTGTTTTCTCAGAGTCAGAGAGAATACAATAGTGCCTCCAGTAACTTCATTGCACCTGAAAGGTTTACTTGCGGTTACACATAAAAATGGCATTAAAGAACGTCGAAGTTGACAAATTAGACTCAAGTTTAAAACCTGCAGACCAGCGAGCCATAATAATATAAATATTATGTCCCTTTTGGGTGATTGAAATAAGATTTTTAATAAATTTTGACAAAAGTTGATCAAAAATGTGGTTAGAAAGTTGTGAGCTGTTGAAATTAATAGTTAACTTTAACTTAAATTATAATCTAGATTTTAATCCCTATAAAAAAAGGGGCTATATAGTCAAGGGAAGGAAAGGAAAAGAAAAATTCTCCTTCCACTTGTTTAACAGCTTCACTCAGATGTCACCTTTACTTTTCTGTATTAATCGAATTAATTATGCAAACACTGATACTGGTTCGTGCAAAAAGATTGGGTAATTAGTACAAAACGTTTCCACCTTTCATGATTTTTGTGGAAAACGTTTCTACCTTTTTTTTTGCACATTTCATCCCTATCTTTACTTTTTTTTTTGTGCCAAACATCATTTCCATCAATTTTCTCAATAAAAAGCTATAAAATAACTAATATACCCTTCTATTTAAATAAAGAACTAAATGCAATCGTAGTTCCAAATAAATAAATAAATAAATTCTCCACCTCCATCTCTTTTGAAATTTTTTAAAAATTGGAACTATGATTGCAATTAGTTCTTTATTTTTTTTAATTTAAGTAGAAGTGTATATTAGTCATTTTATAACTTTTTATTGAGAAAAATGATGAAAATGATGTTTTTCACAAGAAAATGTAAAGGTAGGGATGAAATGCGCAAAAAACGAAATGTATAAATGTTTTCCACAAAAATCATGAAAGGTAGGAACGTTTTGTACTAATTACCCAAAAACATTCTAAAATTGCCCTTGAAAGACGTGCTTCAGAACAAACATGGTGCATGCTTTTAACCACATAAGTCAATGTGCATTCGTTACTGTTAGCATTTACTTACATATCCCCTCTAGATCTCAACATAATAACACTAACGAATATTCTACATGAATTCATACTTTGAGTAAAAAAATAATAATAATAAATAAATAAATAAATAAATCGAATTAAAGTTGTTACATCGTTATCATAGCACAAAAGAGTATTATAACTCATATATGAATCACAAACCCGCATGGTAGAGACTGAAAATATCATCAGATTTCTCAAAAAAGAAGTAAATGAAGATGAATTCCTGTGGTTGCAGTTTCAAATCAAAAAAAAAAAAAAAATTCAGCGTAAATTTAACATCAATATGGATCCTGATGGTGAGGTGCCGGAGAAGAAAGAAAGAGAAGCGTCTTTTTTTATTTTGAAACATGCATGGTTCGCTCGTACATATGATATTTTTAGAATAATGCTACTTTGCCAAAAATTAGATGACATAATGGTTGAGATAATAAGTGTTGAAAAAATGTGATTGATTGTAAAGTTGATTGTGTTTTAAACAGTTCAATGATCATTTTTCACGTGACATTATATCAATCATTATATCTATATAGCATGATTGTTCTTCTTCTTATGGTCCAATTTCCGCACCACCGACCTTAACTAACGTTGTTTTCGGTCTGACCATTTCAACTTTGATTTTGTGTCGTCAGATTAATCCATCTAATCCTACCAATTTTGATTACGTAGGGAGTGATGCAAAAACACATCCAATTAATGCTTCTTATTCATAGTCAAAGAACCATGTAAATAATTCGCACAAATTGAAAATATAATTAAAAAAAAAATTGAGTGCTTCTTTGACAAATTCATAGTCGAAGAACCATGTAAATAATATGCACAAATTAAAATATAATAAAAAGAGATTGAGTGCTCCTTTGATATTTAAAAAAAAAAAATGGTTAGGAAAAGGAGGAGCACGAGAAGAAGAAGAGTTATCAAAACTCTTAAAATAGTCAAACTTCAATTTTAATAACATATTTCATTAAATTCGTAATTTTTATCAGCTTTTTTAACCACACAATTTTATTAATTTTTATCAAAATCTTTGTCAAGTAATCCTCAAAATTCAACAATTTCATCTAAAAATTTAAATGCTATGAAGAATTTATTTAAATTTTATTACGAGTGATCGTCATGCACTTGACATCGAGATTTTTATAATTTAGTGGAAGTATCTTTATTTGTTTTAATATCATGTTAAATTATATCTTATCTCGAATTGGACCGACCACCATTTCACCTTAAAATTATGATACTTAAACTTCACAATTCATCAAGATTTTGACATCGAAACATTCAGCATTGATAAGTATCTCATTAGTCAATTGCAATTTGGAGAGATTTTCTTGCCCCTACTATATCTCCACATCTTGACTTTCTAATACATGCATTTGCTTTCATATACTAAATATGATCACAATTTCCCACAATAATTCTCATAGTGCCTCAATTATTTACATTTACAAAGCAAGCAAGGTTTCACCTTGTAATATCACCAACAATACATAAATCAACATTAGACAATACTTATCATCCCAGGCATCCATAAGACATTCCTTCTAATAGTTATAAAAGATACTCATAACTCAATAAATCTCAATTATGTGATTGTGCATTCCACTACTGAGAAAAGTTCTACTCTTTGATTAACTGTCTGTTAGATATATAGCCCAATTATTAATATATTAGAGAAAATATAACATAGTACCAACATGACAACTCTAACAACCCTCCTTACCATCGAATAATTCCCAAATAACATCCTCATATGTATTATGCTCAAATCAATAATGATCCTTCTAGTTTCTTAACTGTCATATCTTCATAATCAGGGATAATATGAGTTTCAAATACCACATTGGAGCCTATGAGTTCTGCCACCACGCCAGTTACTCGAGTTTAACAATTACTGAACCTGCTCTGATACCAATTGACACTACCCGTCCCAAATCACCTTAATGGACCCGACACGTGTCGTACTGCGATGGTAGATACCAACATAAATGTCGGACCTGCCACAAAGGTAACTTTGACTTTCTTTGATTGTGAAATATTTTTTTAATTTTTTTGATAGAGTCACCTCTAAAATATGGGCTAAAACCACCTGATCATTACCCAATTTTCTCAAATCAATACATATAATATTTAAAAAGGTACACCAGTCCCTCAAAATCCAAACTACTCAAATGAAATGCTGGCAATTTGATATTTACTTGCTATACAATCGAAAGTCCTCAAATGTATTAAAGATATCAAATATGTAGAGAACCAATGATAACATTTTCTAACATAACTGCATGTATCCCAAAGAAACATGTACTGTGTAATCTAATAAAGTCATACAACCTATGAAGCATGGCTCAATTTGGTGGATCGATAGGCTCCAAAACTGCTCAACTTGGCTGCTATCTGTCTGATAAGGAAAAAGGGTAAAAGAAATATGAGCTAATAGCTCAGTGAGTGGATAATTTGCAAATAAGTAAACTTTTTTCATTTATGCATATTTTCTTAAAATTCTTGCTCTATTAAAACTTTGAGAATTCTGAAATCTGATAAAACCTTTAAAACTAAAACATGACTGCATCATAAGATTCTTTGTTCTTTATTCGAGATAAATAACTGTAAAGTATAACAAATTTTGGTACCCATGAAAATCTATGAAATATTGTTGTTACTTAATACTATAAACTGAAAGCTTTATTCTTAGAACTGAATAACTGAATTCTATAATCTGGTCATACATACGTAGAGCTGCATTTACCTTAATGTACTCATTATTCTTGATGTATGTATCATAACATCGTATAAACTCAAAATTCTGGTGCTAAATCATAAATTAGACTCAAGCTGATATATAAAAGAAATATAATAATAATTAATACAAGATGAGTGAGAACATTAGACAAATTCAATAAGCTAAAATCATAATCTGAAATCCACAAGCTGAACTGTAAATGGGAAAATGTAAGCTGAAAGCTAATAATCCACTCTATACTTAAAATTCACATCAAAATATACTCCATGTAATCATCTACTGATGATCTGAAAACTATAAAATCATATGCACATAAACCATCGGATCAACACTCTGTACACGGTCGTAGCCCCTCAGTGTATAAGATGAAAAAAACATAATCATCCTTATACACGGCTATAGCCCCTCAGTGTATAATAGGTACCCTTATACACAGCCGTAGCCCCTCAATGGATAAGAGTTACCCTTATACATGACTATAACCCTTCAGTGTATAGGAGTTATATACATAACTCTAGTACACGGCCGTAGCCCCTCAGTGTACAAGATGGAAATAACATAATCATCCTTATAAACGGTCATGATAGAGAAGGATGCGATGGGACTTGGAGACGAGTAGTCCAATTTCCTTCTGAACTATAGAGACCATCCCAGCCATGTCCAGTCATTGTGGGGGGACTTTTTTTTGGCCCTTATAAACGGTCATAGCCCCTCAGTCTATAGGAGTTAAATACATGACTCTAGTACACAGCCGCAACCCCTCGGCGCACTAGAGTAAGATAATCACATCAATTATTTAATGATAATTTCAAAACAATCATGCTCATTTACTAATTCTCGAAAATAAGGCATTTCATGTAATTAACATGCTTCTATAAAATAAAAAGGAAATCTTCTTTTTGAAAACGTAGATTTTCCACTCACAGATCTATGAATAGCAATCTGGTTCAATTTTACCAATCTTGCCCAGCTTTCACGTTACCACCTGAAATAGGATATAAAATAACTAATTTAACAACTTCCATACTTAGTATTTCTTAATACTAGTAATCGAATACTAAAACTTGACTTCTCGATACTTGAATAATATTTTCTCCAATTTCCTTTAATCACTTCAAGCTAATTCCACATTCTGGTCTATTTCTTAATAACTAATTCATTACAATAATCTTCACTCCAAACATAAAAATAATTCCTTCTTTCAAACTAGTAAAATTAATAATCATAATTTAACCAATTTAATTTCCCATTTTGAGCAATAAATTCATGCCTTCAAATAGTATTTCATCCTTAAAATTTTTCCCGTTAACTAAACTCATTCAAAAACCCAAATGAAAATTCTAGGATTTTGCCCAAAATTGGTATTTCTTACCTTAGTGTAAATAGCATCTCCAATTCAAAAACATTGACTTGAAAAAATCTATGAAATATTGTTGTTACTTAATACTATAAACTGAAAGCTTTATTCTTAGAACTGAATAACTGAATTCTATAATCTGGTCATACATACGTAGAGCTGCATTTACCTTAATGTACTCATTATTCTTGATGTATGTATCATAACATCGTATAAACTCAAAATTCTGGTGCTAAATCATAAATTAGACTCAAGCTGATATATAAAAGAAATATAATAATAATTAATACAAGATGAGTGAGAACATTAGACAAATTCAATAAGCTAAAATCATAATCTGAAATCCACAAGCTGAACTGTAAATGGGAAAATGTAAGCTGAAAGCTAATAATCCACTCTATACTTAAAATTCACATCAAAATATACTCCATGTAATCATCTACTGATGATCTGAAAACTATAAAATCATATGCACATAAACCATCGGATCAACACTCTGTACACGGTCGTAGCCCCTCAGTGTATAAGATGAAAAAAACATAATCATCCTTATACACGGCTATAGCCCCTCAGTGTATAATAGGTACCCTTATACACAGCCGTAGCCCCTCAATGGATAAGAGTTACCCTTATACATGACTATAACCCTTCAGTGTATAGGAGTTATATACATAACTCTAGTACACGGCCGTAGCCCCTCAGTCTATAGGAGTTAAATACATGACTCTAGTACACAGCCGCAACCCCTCGGCGCACTAGAGTAAGATAATCACATCAATTATTTAATGATAATTTCAAAACAATCATGCTCATTTACTAATTCTCGAAAATAAGGCATTTCATGTAATTAACATGCTTCTATAAAATAAAAAGGAAATCTTCTTTTTGAAAACGTAGATTTTCCACTCACAGATCTATGAATAGCAATCTGGTTCAATTTTACCAATCTTGCCCAGCTTTCACGTTAGCCCCTCAGTCTATAGGAGTTAAATACATGACTCTAGTACACAGCCGCAACCCCTCGGCGCACTAGAGTAAGATAATCACATCAATTATTTAATGATAATTTCAAAACAATCATGCTCATTTACTAATTCTCGAAAATAAGGCATTTCATGTAATTAACATGCTTCTATAAAATAAAAAGGAAATCTTCTTTTTGAAAACGTAGATTTTCCACTCACAGATCTATGAATAGCAATCTGGTTCAATTTTACCAATCTTGCCCAGCTTTCACGTTACCACCTGAAATAGGATATAAAATAACTAATTTAACAACTTCCATACTTAGTATTTCTTAATACTAGTAATCGAATACTAAAACTTGACTTCTCGATACTTGAATAATATTTTCTCCAATTTCCTTTAATCACTTCAAGCTAATTCCACATTCTGGTCTATTTCTTAATAACTAATTCATTACAATAATCTTCACTCCAAACATAAAAATAATTCCTTCTTTCAAACTAGTAAAATTAATAATCATAATTTAACCAATTTAATTTCCCATTTTGAGCAATAAATTCATGCCTTCAAATAGTATTTCATCCTTAAAATTTTTCCCGTTAACTAAACTCATTCAAAAACCCAAATGAAAATTCTAGGATTTTGCCCAAAATTGGTATTTCTTACCTTAGTGAATATAAAACAAGGTACATCAATCCCTCAAAATCCAAACTACTCAAATGAAATGCTGGCAATTCAATATTTACTTGCTATACAACCGAAAGTCCTCAAATGTATTAAAGATATCAAATATGTAGAGAACCAATGATAACATTTTCTATCATAACTGCATGTATCCCAAAGAAACATGTACTGTGTAATCTAATAAAGTCATACAACCTATGAAGCATGGCTCAATTTGGTGGATCGATAGGCTCCAAAACTGCTCAACTTGGCTGCTATCTATCTGATAAGGAAAAAGGGTAAAAGAAATATGAGCTAATAGCTCAGTGAGTGGATAATTTGCAAATAAGTAAACTTTTTTCATTTATGCATATTTTCTTAAAATTCTTGCTCTATTAAAACTTTGAGAATTCTGAAATCTGATAAAACCTTTAAAACTAAAACATGACTGCATCATAAGATTCTTTGTTCTTTATTCGAGATAAATAACTGTAAAGTATAACAAATTTTGGTACCCATGAAAATTTATGAAATATTGTTGTTACTTAATACTATAAACTGAAAGCTTTATTCTTAGAACTGAATAACTGAATTCTATAATCTGGTCATACATACGTAGAGCTGCATTTACCTTAATGTACTCATTATTCTTGATGTATGTATCATAACATCGTATAAACTCAGAAGATGAGAAGAACTAAGAAAAACCAGAAACTTAGAAAGAACGGCCACCTCTTTCTTCTTCTTCTTCTTCTTCTTCTTCTTCTATTTCTTTCCTTTTTCTTTTTTTTTTCTTTTTTTTCTCTCTTCGTCTCTTCTAGATTTTTCTAGACAATGCCGTTTCCTCTCTCTCTGTGTATATATTTGTGTAAATGAATTGGAAAGAAATGGGTTTTTAATGGGGCACAACTCAAATTTGCAAAATAAGTCCCTCTTCTCCAATTTAATATAACATTTAGTCCTTTCATTTTCCCATAATAAAAACTAAATCCTTGGATTCATTTATCATATCATTTCTATCCCTCAAGTACTCCAAATTACAATCTAAGTCCCATGAAAATTATTTGTTCAACTTAAATCCTTATTGGCTTTGACTTTGACTAGTCAACCTTTGATTTTTGACTAAGAAAAATTGGGTTGTAACAATCTTACCTCCTTAAAAGAATTTCGTCCTCGAAATTTAGAGAACTAGAATTCGAACACATAAAGGCATAAAACGCAAACGATGAATGATTTTTTTGGCAATCTTGAACTAGACATAATTCGTTATTTCATATGTTTCATCTTTATTTGGATTTTTCCTAAGTTGAGCTCTCTTTAACTTCACTGGTAATCTTAAAGCATAAGTTAGATCTGATATCTATTCACCAAGCCTTAGAAATAGATAATACATTCTTAAATACTAGATAAACCCATTGTAAACTCCATCATTAAACAATTGATCCAAATTTCAAATAACAATTCACAGATCAATCTATGATATGCTCAGCTTTTCATTTTACCAAATCTTAGAAAAAATTAGCTATTTCACAATTTGAAATTCAAAATACTACTTTTCATATTCTTCAAAACTTTATCTCATGTCATGATTTGAACTATTCTCTAATCAACTCCTTTATATATATATATAACAATGGTTACATACTAAGACCGAACAACATTCTTTCACCAATGTCATCACAATAATTGTCCTTAGAATATTTCACTATCTAAGTATAACCTTAAACATCGTAACTTGTATCTAGTTCTCATATGTTGATTCCATGAAATTAAAAAATAATCCAATGTCCCCTTTAATTAACAAACTATAGTTGCTAGCCTTTTTGTCGACTTGTCTTCTTACATTCTATTAAAAGAAGCTGTACACTGTAATTTAGTTATAACTTCCCATAACTAGGCTAAAAATAGATACTCAAACTCCACCATATTAATAATAATATTATCTAAATATAATTTTATAAATCTACCTCATAACATGACTATATTGTTTGAATTAAATCTTTAACCTTTACTGATCTTGTCAAAAATGATCTAAATACCATATGTCTCCTGTAATTGGAACCCAGAATAAAAATATTTTAGCATAACTATTCCGATTCTAAATTAATAATACATGCAAAATTTCAATTGTTCACGATTTTCTAAAGTTCTAGTTATCCCCAACAACAATTGAAATAACTCAATATGGGATTCTTTTCCTTTCATTCTATATCACCCAATGATAATATATACATAACTTCAATTTCCACCATTTCTAATAAAAATATACCTTAAACTCTGATGATAGATAAATATAGATGTTTCTTTAACAATCTATAATATAATCCATAATTCATCATTTATCTCAGAATACTTTCTAAACCTTACATAATCTATTATCATAAATCAAGCCCTCATCCACTTTAGATACGTGAGTACATATTTCATCATAATGCAATATGATAGCAAAACTTTTGACATTTCGAAACCCACACGATTTTGGTGCTCTTTCTTTCTATGAAGATACAATAATAACATTTAATCCATGATAATTCTAAACTCTTATTCCATAAAAAGGGCATTAAATTATCACCAATACATAAGCCTTCTTGTATAATGCACAAAGACCTTCAATTAAGATTACAACCTAAAGTTATCATTCCACAATTGAATAAAATTTACATGTGATGATAATCTTAGACTTTAAACTATCCAACATATCCTCCATATGTTCCACAACATATAGATCTCGATAAGAATGGAATACTTTATTCGTGAGATCCAAAAATACAATCGAAAATAACCCAAACTTTACGCTACTAAAAATCCATTAAATTCACCTTAACTTCCAAATTTAGCTTGAAGCTTCTAAATTGCATGTAATATAATATAATAATCCACAAATGACTTTGACAAAATTAATTAATAATCCAAATATCTCATCAAATTATTTAGCTATAGGGTAACTATAACATTTCTTCACTTGCTATTCACCATATCACGTGACCTTGTCATTTATGATCATAGTGTATAACTTCAAACATTTGATTATCCTATTTCCTTAGGATCACAAAAATAATGCTCTTTATAACTATCAAGTGATTTTCACAAAAATGTACCATCAACATTCGGTATGCTAATTTGTCAATTACCATAAATTTCAACTCTGTCATTCTTTACTTTTTCTCTTTTCCATAGTCTCATTCCATTCTGCAAGTCATACATGAATATACATGAAATATGCTAATCACTCTCTTTTCTTTTTCAATTACTTCTTATTCACATAACCTAATTGCGAACGCCGAAAAATAGAGTAAGAAATTTGAATATGATTGCTTCTCTGTTCCTTATTCTCTGTCTCTTTCTTTGCTCAAATGAGGAACTAAGATATTAACACCAAGATTTTATTTTTCCTTCCTTACTAAATATCATCTTGACCACTAAACTTATTTCCCACAA